AACTACTTTGTAAAAATGTAAGTTACTACATCAAATCCCTTCCCTATCTTTCATAACTAAATTTGGTAGCTCATTTCCTTCCTGGTGTGAATTCCAAGGCAGTCATTGAGCCAGCTCAACACTATGATCCACAATCTAGCCTAATGCAGTGTTTTTCAACCACACAACTAGCAGGATCGAATAGGTGATCTTAACTCAATGAGTACTTCATGGCTCCTCACACAACAGTCAATTTCTCAATCTTTCTCTCAAAAATAATGTTAAAAATGTATATAATAAACAAATAATTTTCGCAACTACTCCATTGGATTCAAAAACATGTAAACATGTTTTGCTCGACAAATTTTCGTTGAATTTTGTTGAATTTAGTCAAGATAAAAATATGTAATAAAAATAATATAAATGCAATGACTTAACTTGGAATAAATCAATCATAAAATAAATTTGTCACGATACATAAAATAACTGCAATAGAATCAATCTGACTTATTTAATACTTACACCGAACAATTGACACAAAATAAATAATACTTGAAATCGACACAAAATAAATCATACTGAATGATACAAAATAGGTTAAAAGGACTTGCTTGCTCTAATATTTATAGTGATCTGTACATAAAATAATTGTGAGTACTAATTTCATAGGTGAGCTTGTTCAAGACTTCGAGAGCTATGAGCTTTAATTTTTGTTTTTCTCTAAGTTTCTTGACAAACTGATTGTCCTCAATGGAATCGGTTGATTGCCTATTAGTAATTAATTTATCTACGGCACCTGATAGTTTGTCGATGTCTTTTTGGTAAGATAACAATTTGGTGCTTATGAGTTCAATTGAGTCCGTAATCCTACTTGTATAGTATGCTAATTCATTATGCTGTCTATTATTATTACTGTCTTTTGGATCCTTAATACAACTAGATGATGCCAAGGCTAATCTGCGACTACTACTGTCTAAGTGAATAATTTCATCTGGGACAGCGTTAAGAATTTTGGAAATACATTTAGCCATGTTGCTGTGTTTAAGCTTATCGTATTTTTCAGGATCAGAGGGAAACATTTCAATCAATAATTTCAACATTGACGAAAAGTTTGCAGGCAGCTTTTGTCTGCTAGGATTTTCCCTATCAATGTTAATATTTTCTATTATTTCGCTTGACGTTATGATATCAGGTGTTAATAGTGGGCCCTGACCTAATAGTTTACGCAAATTGGAGAAATCTACCCCACCATTGACAAAAATGTTGCAAGCAAATTTCTGATAGATAGCAGCTTTGGTATTTAGAATTATCTCAATCGTTGATGTCAATATATTGTGGATTGGGAAATCAGGAAATAACTTTGATAAACATGGTGGGCATGATGACAGACAGTTTTCTGAGCGACATTCTCTAGAGGAAAAGAATTTAAGGTCGTTTTCCGAGGACAAACTCATATATCGTTCATTAGTATTGGAAACGACAAAATTTGAAATGCGATAAACGTGTCCTGCAAAGTCTTGGATGTTGGACGTTATAAATTCTTTGGTAAAAACAATGTCAGGAATAGGACTTCTTTGATGAAATGCAGTGATGGCAGAAGAAACTGTGCTACGATAAGTTTTGAAATTGTTTGCAGTTTTAAAGTATCTGGAGATTTCTTGACGTTTTAGGACATTAAGCAGGAAACTCTCTTGAAAGTGTTTTCGATTGGTAAAACTGTGAGCAGAGACCTTCAGTTGCCGAAAAATATCTTCCATGCGTCCGGCATGCACTGACAAAAAGTTAGTAAGTTCGAATGTTGGACCCATGTAGTAAACTATGCCGAGGAAGTAAATAGAATTAATAACTTTAAGAGCAGTAGGTATCGTAATCTGTATTTCTTTCAAAGTTTTAAACCATACAAAAATGATATTATGAAGCAGCAATGTGGAGGCACCTGACCGTTTAGACTCATCTTTGTATCCAAATATATGAATTTCTAGAAGTGCTCTGAAGTAAGTATAATAAAGGCATTTAGGACATTTGGTCACAATTGACAAAGTAAAAATATCCCCGCAAATATTACAGGACAACCCGTCTGGAAATAATTTCATTTCTAGTTTCTGAACAATTTCAATTAAATTCTTAAAAACTGACTCGCCAGATTTTTCGTGTTTTGATCCGTAATCAAAATTACAACAATTGGATATAATCTCATGTACTAATTTTAATGGTCCGTCACCTTGAGGTCCTGGAATGTGTTTGAATGATTTGAGGGTTTCGCCTCTGAGACCATGAAGACATTCATTTCCCAAAAGTTCAGCCCCTTCAAGACCAATTTCTTCAGGTGATTTATCAGGAGTAGCCATGAATAGAATAGGGGGTCGCCTTATACCCCCTAAGTCATTTTTCAAAAACTCTTTTATCTGTTCGCTATTCATATTATCAAGACGCTTATGTGGCCATCTTATTTTCATTAGTTCTAATGCTGAGGCGGGTTTATCTTTTAAATCTTGTAGCGATTTTCCGCGATTTTCAGGATTTTCGAAGAACCCACCTTTATTAGCATGTTTTGTAGTTTTGTCGAATGTCATGTGTTCAAATTTTACAATTTCGTAATATTCATAATGATCTATAGGGAAGCATTCTAATAAGGTAGGATTACGATACGGTCCACTCTTGTTTGAACCATTCTCAACACTCCTTACAGGCGCATCGCCATTCACAAATTTTAATCTGTCCGTGAATTCGATTCCGCAGTTTGTTTTAATTGTAACTTTAAAGGCAGCTAACTGGTTAGTTCTAAATTCTTGTAATGCCTCTTCGCTTTTGGTTGTCGAAGGAGACATAGCTATGTAATGGATGTAAATTTGCTCGACAGCTTTTTGTAAATCCCCTTCACATAGATCATTTGATTGGTAAAGGGACTTGCTGTATAAAGGCCAAACGACAAAAAGGATGTAACTTCTGTTTAAAATAACGGCGTGATCATACCACATTGCAAAGCTCCTTGTAGACTCAGCTTCTTCAAGTTTTTTTCTAAGAAAACTTTCGTCGTATTTTTGGAAGTCGCTATCACAAATCAAACTATAACTCTTTAAGGTGCATTTCACCTCGTCAATCGACAAATTTTGGTAATGCTCTTTTGGTTTGGCCTTCAAGAAATTATTACCAGACTGGAAACTAAGGGAATGTTCTCTAATTGACATAAGGTCAACTAATCGTGAGTTAGCTGCTACCTGTTTAGGACATGATTTAACCAAATCCCAACCTTCATACAAAAGTGGTATCTGGGGAGTCCCCAGCAAAATTGATTGGAGTTCTCTTAGTATTTCAACTTTTTCATCAGCGACACTAGCTGGAGGAATTCTTGGGATATAAAGATCGTCAACTAGAGGGTGGGGCTTGTAGCGTGTCCGGGCATTACTGTGGACAGCAAGTATGGGTCTTAACTCACTGTAAATACCATGATTTCTCGGAAGTAAAAGGTAATTTAAGCAGACAGATTGTGCATAATCGGACAATCTTTTCCCTCCTTTAGGGCCAGTTAAACTATATTTTGTACCCAGTTTAAAGAAACCTGGTTCGAAATGGTACGTAAGGACGTGCGAACAGTATTCATTAAACAGGTCCCCAAGCTCAATATTTGGATCGGATGACTTAATGTGGCGATAATCTGGTAGATTAGACAGATGTTGCTCGATGTCTGTTTTAGAAAATTCAGTGCAAAATATAGTACGGTCTAAATTCTCGACCTGACTTCCTGAAAGACCACTGCCATAGTGGATAAGCGCACTAGCCTCGGTTAAATGATCATTGAATTTTGCAACATTGATGGTTAGTTCCGATTTGTACCGCTCAAATTCCACTTTTAATTCGCTCAAAGATATTTCGAAATTTTCGACACTTTTATCGTAGCTAGAAAGAATTTCGTAGGAAGTCCTGCATATGCATTCGTGGATTTCCTTAAAACTCTTTCCACGACCTAACTCGTTATTAGCAAATTCGGATAAAATTTTGTTGCATCTACTTTTCAAATTATCACCTCCGTCATTGTTTGACATAGGTTCCGTACAGACTCAACTCTGCACCCGTGTCAATATGTTCATTATATGCAAGCCTCTTGATTTATAATCACCGAGTCTAGTAATTGTTTAAGAGAGTTCTCTGGCAGTTACGAAACTCGAGAGACTGTGGGATACTGAAGGGAAAGGAAGCAGTTCTAACGAGCTCTTCTCAAACACAAGGATATAACTTGTGAACTCGGCTAGTATATATGAAACATTTGTCATGGAGTTGTAGAGGGAGTTATGTGCCTCGCCGGGCTAAAGTAGTGAATGACCTTGCTGTACGGCAAGTTAAACAAGGATCTGAAACTACTAGGTTCCGTACAGACTCAACTCTGCACCCGTGTCAATAATGTTCATTATATGCAAGCCTCTTGATTTATAATCACCGAGTCTAGTAATTGTTTAAGAGAGTTCTCTGGCAGTTACGAAACTCGAGAGACTGTGGGATACTGAAGGGAAAGGAAGCAGTTCTAACGAGCTCTTCTCAAACACAAGGATATAACTTGTGAACTCGGCTAGTATATATGAAACATTTGTCATGGAGTTGTAGAGGGAGTTATGTGCCTCGCCGGGCTAAAGTTTAAGTAGTGAATGACCTTGCTGTACGGCAAGTTAAACAAGGATCTGAAACTACTAGGTTCCATACAGACTCAACTCTGCACCCGTGTCAATATGTTCATTATATGCAAGCCTCTTGATTTATATTAAAACAAACACTACAAGGGACGCCTTCTACTTGTGGCCTACTGTTTTCATGTGAAATGCGAATTTGATCACTCCTATAAGTCTGCTTAAGAGAATCTAAAACCTCTTTATTATCGGCGATACACTTGGCTTGACCAATAATTCGACGAAAATTTCGCGAATCCAAGTAATTACGAACGTAACCAAAATAATGGGGAAATTGATTCACATGGTCTTCTACGCGTCCGTCAAATTCTGACAATACAAAATGTGCCAAAATGTACTTACAGAAAGGAAGCTTTGAGTATCCAGATTTGACTAACGCAGAGTATACACAGTCGCTAAGAAATTGAACTTCTATTTCGGTACGTGATCGTTTGCTCATTGTGCTAATAAAAACTAATTACCACGAACGAGGAAAATACAAAATGTACGGAAATAGGAAAGAAAATGTTGAATATATATATTGCAAGCGAGCCCCAGAAACAATCCTAATTATAGAATGACATATCTATAGGTAAAAGTATCCAACGCGAAATAAGAGCGCAAATTAGTACAGAAACACATATCGGCGCGGCGTGAAGGGATTGTTATTAAAAAGTTGAAAATTCTGCTTTTGAACTGTAAAATCGGTTTTGTTGAACGAAAACTAAAAATTCAAAAATTCTTTTAAAGATTAAATTTTTACCATCATTATCCAAGCATTGTGAATACATTTATGGTATTTTGTGGTCAAATTTAACTATTCTTGACAGAATTCCTATGCGCGCGCAATCTAAACATGAATTGTAATGGCTAATTACTTTACAGACACGCGCGGTGTCTTCAGCTGTATCGAAACTATCATATTGGTGGCGCGCCCGCTGGCCGGTAACTTTTCCTGGGCAGAGATAATCAGTATACCACAAAGAATAATTACCAAAAATGAATTAGGTCTTTTTCTCTAAATTATAGAAAAAGAGAAATCCATTTCCAATGCTGACATGTTCAATGTGACTCATAGGCTAACTGCCGGCTGGTTAGTACTACTGTCCCCAAACTTAAAGGCCCAAGTTAAAATCGCAGTGTCAATGGTCAACTAGTTTGAAGAATGAGCTAACTTATAGCTCAGCTAAGGATTCCGTTGACCATTGTTAATGATTTGGCCCGGCGCGCGCTACTTCGAAGAAATTTAGCCGAGTAATATATCCGTCAAAGGATTCCGTTACGTTGGATCGAACGAAATTACACAGCATTACTTGGCTTGAAATAGCTTGTTAGTTTATTGCTTGTTGCTCTCACATAATGACATAAAATTGAAATTCTCCTCTGACGAGATTTTGGCAAAAATCTGTCATGTCTGATATTGATCACGTGACATGTTGATTCACGATGTCAATCCTTCGCATCTCGCCGATCTGCATACGTGGTTGCGAGAAGCATTATTGGATGCGCGCGCGCGACCCAGTAGTGCATCGCGCTACAAGTCACAAGTGACATGTAACATTTTAATAAAAAGCCTTACAAATTCATTAACGGGTGATACTCGTAAAATATTTGTTCCATATATTATCGACGAGTCCAACTCGGCGCGCGTCCTGGTAGGTTGTAAACCTACAACAAATTTATCAACATGAATTAGGTGTTCATGTTTATGGCTAGTTATATTACAATTAATTGCTTGCTACTCTAACTTGAAGAATGAGATTCGTCTAAATTTTTTCGAAATAGCGCGGACAGCTTTCTCGAAATGTTGCCACAAGGAAAGTAATATAATTTACGTAATAGCAATTGCCAATCCTTTAACGTCCTTTACGTATATTGATGCGATAATCTCGAAAAAAAGCGCCGCGCTTATTGATATTTGCGGGGTTGCAGTGTCAAATAAATTAAATGTCAGTTGCATGTTTGTATAATTATTTTTATGAGTTACAAGGCCAGGAAATTATTTTAAAATATTCATATCATATCGTTAAAGAATAACGATTAACGAAAAAAATGTGTAATTAAGGTTTTCCCTACTGTGTTTGGTTTAGTTGTGTGGCTTTTTATGAAATTTGCTTATCCATTATCCAGTAACCAGCCCCGGTTACTGAGCCGCGCTCAGCCTGTCATTCCGCCTAATCTCTATTCGTTGTTTTTTATTTGAAAATTCAATTAATCATTATATATATAAATCAAGCGTTACATTTCAGCCATGCAAAATTACAATGACATATATTGATTACTAAATGATAAATGGTACTGCAATATAAGTTGCTTAATGTTTGGCCGGATGACAACTAACGAGAAAAATAAACTTGATTATATAATAATTAATTCGGCTGAACCAACACATAGCAAGAGCCACATTAACGTTGGGGCCGTCTACCAAATTAGAATGACAAACATTAACAAGAAATCAAACATATCATAAATAATTATAAGGATTTTGTTCATTACAATTCCGTCACAACTGATAAAGAAAAAAGAAAAGGACAAGCAGATAGGAAATTGGACGGACAGAATTGTAACCAAGAAAAACAGATGAAAGAAGGTGGACACCAAACGTGAGATTCAGCTATCAGAAATTTCATACAACCTCATCCCTGCCCCTATAATGGAGTAGATCATGTGTTTTGTTAAAATGTTTTTGAAAAAATTATTGGTAGCAATGAATTGTGCTCCGCCAATTGCAACACTTAAAATTTGATTGTGCTCTGCCAATTGCATCACTTGATTTAATTGAATGTATATATATACTGTTTGACACAATGTTTTAGGATTTTAAAGAAAAACAGATTTCTGAGACTCATAAGACTGTCGACTGATGAGCTAATCTGGCCAGACTGTATCGGCAGCCCAGAGGTACTTGATCAGTTTGGCCTTAAAAGTAGAAATCCGCTCTGACTGCCGGATACATACTGGTAGACTATTCCATTTCAGCATAGATCTATGAAAAAAGCTATTTCGGAAGGCATCCGAGCAGGGCACAGTGGTACTCATGTAAGTTGAAGTATCCGACATATCAATTATTTGAGCATTGTGCCTAGTGTATCGGGTGCCCTCTGGACGGCATAGGACTATATATGTAGGGAGCGAAACTGGAATTATGCTATTCACTATTTTATAGAAGGTCATAAGATCGTTATAAATAAACTTCTGTTTAACAGGGAGAATATTTAGTTTCTTTTGCTCTGTAGCAAGTTTATCGTCATTATAACTAGAGTAAGGTTCACCATTGATCCATTTAATAGCCCTCTTTTGGATAGCAACAAACTGTTGAAGATGAGTTGCAGATTGAGGGGACCATATGACAGAACAATGTTCAAATATAGACCTAATTAACGCTAAATAGAACGATCTTTTCTGTTTATCAACATTAAAGCCTGGGGTCCTCAGGTAACAAGTATGGGTGATTTAAAGATTTTTGCTCGTACACTCTAAATAAACTGTTGCATCTTTTATACTTACAAAAGCTGTTTAAAGAACGGAGAACCTAAACCAAAAGAGAAAACAGGAAAGTTTTATAGCTAGTATTTGATAGCTTGCAGAATTATTAGCTTGCAGAATTTTGTTTACTGGCTCGACAATCTTCTTGGCAGGACCCTCCTCATTTAACCTTCAATCACAGTGTTTTGATTATTTGGCTGAGTCAACCGAGGAGACATTATATTATATATTACACGAATTAACTTCTCACAGAGCCAGCGGATCTTTAGCTATCCCTCTAGATTAGCTCACACTGTGATTCGAACCCTGGACCTTCTGTGTAGAAGGTGGAAGCTCTAACCACTCTGTGAGGTATGGGGAACCTTACATTCCATATTTGCTCTAATTAGATCTGGATTGCATCTGATGTGTTTTATCTTGTGGGATCCCTTAAGTCTACTTTAAAAGAATGCTTACAAAGCAGTACTATTACGGCTAGGATCCCCAATGGGATACATTTTTATCTGTTGCTAGATGAGTGGTGCTGCATGTCAGCGACAGTCACTTTCGTTACATTGCAGGTCAAGATAGGAAAATCCCAGCCATCTTAGTTATTACAAGTCCTCAATTAGCCATCCATAATATTTTTTGTGTGTCTATATCACTAATAAAACATTTTTAAATTTGTCATAGACCTGTGATGTATTGATGTAATTTAAATAATACTCGAAATTACAAGTATACCAAAACCAATAATGATCAACACTGATTTTCATATCGCTCCAATTCAGGAATTCAATGGCAGAACCAATAGAGATATTTACCTCTGACTCAGATGCATGGGACGATTCAGCATTAATCAAAGCCTGGGACTCAACAATTGATTCATTTAAAACAGAATTATTGGATAATGGCACTACTGCAGCAAAATCTGACAACAAGAATTTTGTTAAGCCTAACACAAATCATTTATCCTCAAAGAAGAAAAAGAGAAACAAGAAAAAGAAAGTTCCAACAGTTAACAGTTGGGAGGTTGGTGAACACTGTCAGGCTAAGTATATTGACGATGGATTGTTTTATGCAGCAGAAATTGTTGCTCTCTGTGAAACGTTTGCAACTGTCTGTTTTACTGAATATGACGAGGAAAATGATGTTATGTTATCTGACTTGAAGAAACTTCCTGTAAAATCCCCTGATATTCAGACCAACGAGTTCCCTTTTAAACCCCATGGTGCGCACAATAGCTGGAATCATCAATATTATCCTCCACCACCTAATTATTCTATGCCCCCTCCACCACCTCCATGTCCAATTCATCACCACAGTCCTTACAACATGCACAATCAGTCCACCACAGGCCACACTCATGGACCCATTCCTCAGCCACCATGTCCACCACATCCCTTTTCTAGTAGCAAGTGTTCAGATGAGGCACTTGCAGCAATGCTTATGTCATGGTATAAAACTGGATTTACCACCGGATATTATCAAGCTCTAAGAGAACACAATATTGTACCCAAAGATAGCCCAAAAGCTCCAATTTGATCAAATTAAAAGAAAAGTTGACATATTTAAAGTGATTGTGGACAGTTTTTACTGATTCTTTTATTGCCGTTTTTAACAACCAATTGGATTATGGTCACAAATAATTATTATCTATTCCCTTCATTTGGTCAACCTGTCAAGATATCTTTTTTCCACTATTATAGTTGATTTCTACCAATCTATTTAGATATGAATTATTTTAAAAATTACATAATTCGTTATTTATTTGTTACAAAGCAATTGTTTTCATGTTTCTACCTATAGTGCAGATACTGCTTCTATCAAATAAAACTCTTTCCTTACTCAAGTTTGATCAGAAAGCATCTGGCATTTAATGAGACTCAACAATTATTCAGATTACTAATTACGGTACACCTATATAATGGATATTTATATTGTGGATGGATATAATCATAGACAAATTTTGTTCTTAAATAACAGAATCCCAAAGATTATTCTGAATGTGAACAAAAGGTAACCATATCTTCTTTTATGGAAAGTCGTAGCAATACTGCTTACAATGAGCTGTTGTCCTCCCAAGAGTCATAGCTTCCTAGATAACAGTGAGTACCAATGCAAAGGGACCTTTGAAAAAGTTGATGATCTTGAAATGTATGTTTCTGGCTCTGGTGAGAAATGCGTGATCTGGAACTACGATATATTCGGATTTGATGGTGGTAGAACAAGACAAAACGTTGACCTGTTGGCCAGCCATGGTTTTATGGTCATCCTTCCCGATTACTATCGTGGTTTTTTCATCACTCCAACTGATCCTGGTCTTATGGATCACATAAAGAAGTACTCCTACAGTAAATTAGAGCCAGATGTCAAAAGAGTTCTGAGCTTTGCTCGAAGCAGAGGAGCTACAACTTTTGGGTCTGTAGGCACCTGCTGGGGGAGTTTTCTTGTCATGAAACTCTCAGCATTTCCTGATTTCAAGGCTGGGGTTAGCATGCATCCCTCTCACCCAAAAATGATGGAGTTGTTGGAGGACAGTGAGGAAGAGGCTTACAAGCAAGTACAATGTAAACAACTCTTTATGAATGCAGGGAATGATCACGAGAATCTGTTTCCTGGTGGCCTTGCAGACAAAGTTTTAGGAGAAAAGCTTACAATTGAAGAGTTTCCTGATATGGTTCATGGCTGGTCTATGAGAGCAGATCTCAGTGAACCCAAGAGTAAGCGTGATGTCAACAGAGCTGTTAATTTGTATCTAGAATTCTTCGAGAATAATTTGTAAAACTGAAAGTAGTTTGAAGGAAGGGAATGTTTTGGCTGAATTGATTTTGGGGTTAAGGTTAGGGGTGTTCAGGGTGACTAATTTCTGTGGTTTATAGTATTTTTAAGAAGAATTTTTTATTTGGGAAGAACTGGGGTTAAATCTATTGTAGGGATTAATTTATTCAGCGAATCATTTAAAATAATGTATCAGCAGTTTTATGCACCTTAGTTTTTATCTATTTATTGCAAATCAAACACATAACAGTAACATTTAGAGAGCAGTGGTGTCCAAGATGGTGGATCATTAAAATTGTGGGACAACTGACAATAAGTCATTCTCTTTTAGTTTGACCTTGTCAAAAGATTGAATCAGCTGCTTGAATGTTTGTACTAAGTGTGCACGATTGTAACCCGAATTGAATCATTTTTCAATTTCAAACGGTTGCTCAGTTTTTAGGAGTTCGTTTTGAAACCAGACAGAAACACCATAAAATCCACATGATCCAACTTCTGAGAACCCACTGTTATGACATTGATAATTTATTGCTCGATGATTTGTTTGCTTTTTGATGAGATATTAAGTAGGCATTTATTTATGTATAACCTTTATATTTTTTGGCAAGATGTGATTTTATTTCTTATGCAAAAGTAAGATTATTAAAATTATGCATTACAATTATAAAAGTTTTAAAGTTTACGCACAAGAATTCTGTTATGATGAACAGCTTTAGCAAGTAGTTTCAAATAATGTAATTTACTGATAGGTTTCACAATAATATATGGTATATGACTGCATTTAGTTGCCATATTTTCATAATAACTACTACAACAGGTATGAGAAAATGGAAGCAAGTCTGAGCCAAAAAGATAAAATAGCAGCTGCTAAGAAAAAACTGAAGCGGTTTCAGCAGAAAAGTGCGCGATTAGAAAAGGTGTGCTATTGAAAAAATTATGAATTACCCAATACCCATTCCGTATTGCAAATTAAACAATTGATCTCTGGAAATACCAGAATTAAACTTTATCAAACTTTAAATTTTCATGTTATCAAGTGCCTCATCATCATAATTATGCGAACAATGTCCTCAAAATTTTAATATATCAGATATATATCAGATGTTACCCCTCAGAACTCAAATGGGTCACACGAAGTGGACAATGAGTCCCAGGTATCCCAGCTGTCTGACACAGCACTTCACCAGCAAACAATCGATATACTTGTTGAGGAGAAGGCTGAACTGTTGAGGACACGGGACAAGCAGAATTCTAACATCCAACAACTCAAAGGTAATTCTTTTAGTCACTCGATTGATTATTTGTCTGTCAAAGCGTAACACATTTTAAATTAACGCAAATGGCCAAAAGTAATCAACACGTGACACCATGCTTTTAATAACATTTTGACTTCAGATGAGTTGTCGGTTTTGAGATCTCAGCTTCACTCCTCGAATTCTGATTTGTCTTCAAGTGAGAAGAAGAAATCAACTTTGCAGTCTCAGTACAACAACGCTCTGGCCGTAAGTTTTGTTGAAGTTTGATTTAAATCTGAGCAATCTTTAACGGACCTAGGATTAATATCTAATCTAGAATTAGATTAAATTGAAGCTATAATTTCCATGCATGTATTTGAAGTAAAGCCAAAACTTAGCTCACACTTCAATGACCTATCTGGCTTGCTCAGAGCTATTTCCCGCTTCTACCATCAGCTTCCCGCACTATTTAAAACTTGGCTGTTTGTACTAATGATACGGACTGTTTCTGTGAACCCACGCGAACTTCAGAATCACGGTACTATACTGGACATGTTTGTGAACACTGACCGTGTGACGATGCGCTCTACTTATAATTGGTTGACATACTATGTTTAATAAACATACTATGTTTATGTACAATGTACTATGTACTATGTACTATGTACTATGTACTATGTACTAAGTGCAATGTACTATTTACGATGTACTATGTACTATTTACAATGTACTATGTACAATGTACTATGTATGGGTACACACAGAATAACCACAATATACCAGCATATAAACTTCTAAACGTTATTCATGAGTCTCAATAAAACACATACTATGTTAATGTTTACATACACACAACATGGCCATAATAAACTCACATACTGATTCCTAAATAGAACAACAACTCAGGAGTCGCAAGAAAAGCAGAAGGAGAACAGTAAACTACAGAGTCAGGTCTCCAGTCTGAACGATCAGTTAAACGTGTTACAGACAGAGTTCTCCTCTCTTTCTCTGGAGAGGGAGGAGCTGAACGAGCGACTGTCTAACTCTGCTCCCCCTCAGGTGTGTCCTTGTTTTTTCAGTTTAATGAGAATTGCGATCTTTCTAACAAGAAATGGTGCTACTTATCAACTAATACATGCATTTAAAATGTTTTGATTGCTGGAGGATTCTCAACACGTTTCGATATTTACTTCTATCTTTTCAGCCGAAAATTCAAAACACCATGTCGTCAGTGCCCAATCCTTTTAAGAGAAATGACGACGTGATAAGACTAGAAGAAGAAGTGAAGAAGCTGACAGGAGAGTTGGAGGGGTTAAGGAGCGGGCTCCTTAACAAGGAGATGCAATGTGATGTCCTGGCTGGTAAACTGAGTCATCAGGAGACAGTCTTCAAGGAGCAGATACAAGGTAGAGACCTTTAGAGATTGGCACCCTTGAGAGAGTTGATCTATTAGAGATTTATTATATTATACAAAACAAATATCATTGGGTTGGCAGGGAGAATGTTGTCCTCTCGCCGAAGTCAAACTTTCCGTGTCATTAAAAGAAATTTGAATCTTAAATAAGATGCGATCTGAGTGAACTTGTGTTCGAGAGATATTATTTTGTTGAGAGACTAAATCCTCAGGCCTAGAAGTTGAGTTACAGGAGCGGGACGCTAACATGTCAACGTTACAAGAGGAGATAACAGCTCTGAGTGTTACACCTGAACCTGTCCTTCAACCCTCCCCTTCTGCTCCTGAAACTGAGATTACCCCTGAATCTGACTCGGTTTGTTTTCACAATATTGCGGAGTTTTTTCATGCCTTAGTTATAATTTTCTAGTATTCGTCGGTCGATGTTAAATGATACACAAAATATTGATGTATATTATTGGCCATGACTCAAGAATTTAATTAGGTTGATAACGTATTCTGATAGTAAGACGCTTCATGTTACACCGCAATATCAGCACATCATGATCAGCTAGATTCGGGAAATTTAGTTTCAGATTTCATAACTCACAGCAAAAAAATCGACGTACGGGTAAATGCCTCACAGAATGGCTAGCCTCACAGAATGGCCAAATTTGTAAATGTTTTTGTAACTAAATTTTTATATATGACTGGTAGGTTTTGTGGATACCATATGAAACAAAAGTCTTCTGGCAACACTTCCTGTGGTGAAATCATTAACTAGGACCACATTTTCTGGCATAAATATGACTGTTTATGTAGAAATTTTGAGCACTGAAAAATTTGTTTTCAAATTTTTGAACTAAGTTTACATTTTGGTGAGAACTTCTGGCACCAGTATGACAGAAGATGTTCAAAGAATAGTATTCATCAAACAAAACGAACATTGTTCAATATAGGAAGAAAAAAATGCTAAAATGGCTACACGCCTCACAAAATGGCCAAAATATGCCTCACAAAATTTGTTTTCAAATTTTTGAACTAAGTTTGCATTTTGGTGAGAACTTCTGGCACCAGTATGACAGAAGATGTTTAAAGAATAGTATTCATCAAACAAAACGAACATTGTTCAATATAGGAAGAAATAATATGCTAAAATGGCTAAACGCCTCACAAAATGGCCAAAATATGCCTCACAAAATGGCCAAAATTTAAAACTCCTTTTATTCAATGAAACAATAAGTCTAAAGTATTCACAAGCTATTTATCATACAATAACACCCCAGATGGAGTGTTTTTACAGCCGAATGAAGGTTATAAATCATGAAATCAGGGAATATGAACAACGCCACACAAAATGGCCATTTTTGGTGTAGGAAATTATGCCCTTTTTATTCAGTTTTAAGAAATTTCACCTATATGGGGGTGTTAACAAGGCATATTAATACCAGCAGCATGCCTGAAACAAGAGCCAAAGGTTTTAGAAAAATAAAATTTTCTCGTTTTCTTTTTTTTTGGCCATTTTGTCAGGCATTTTTTCTTTTTTGTGAAATAATTTTTCACAGCTCAGTTTTTTCGTGAGTTTTAGGTTATTACCACATTCCTTAATAGGTTTTCTAACAACGTGTGGTGATAGAAATTTAAAAAGTATCTCCATCAAAAAATTATAGAAATTCAGATTTGGCCATTCTGTGAGGCATGTTTTTTTAGAAGAAGATTTTCCGGCCAATTTTTCTCAAAGAAAAAATGGCTATGAGATTAAATGAACCCCCGGGAAGAAAAATATGAGTGTCAACTTAGCTTCTTATGAGATAAAAACTGGAATAAAGTATGTTTTGTGATTTTGAGAGACCTTCCTTTTTTTTGGCCATTCTGTGAGGCAAATACCCGTATGCTGTTCATTTTTAGAACATTAAGTCGCATACTCTGATTTGGTGTGAAACAGTGAACAACTCTTCATATAAAATACATTGTATATGATAGCAAGATATCCAAGGAGTTAATTCAATTAAATAATTAGAAGAATTAATTAATTGACATCACAAATTATCACCGACAGGAACAAGTCACAGCAGTTGCACAAGCACCATCCACAAACATTCCAGTTACTGACCAGTCAGAGAAATTGCTTGCGGAGGTGACAGTTGAGAAACAAAAGTTAGAAATGGCACTTGAAGAGCAGATCTTACAAACTCTCTCCCTTCAAAAGGAGCTTGATAAATTCAAGGTGAGTACGCTAACGTATGATAAGGCGTACCAACTTGGATTTAATCGAACCATTTGATACGATTCAGTAGATGATGAGCTCTAGCTAATCGCTCATAGTAAAATAATCTGCGTGTACATGTTGCTGAGTAGTAAATACATATCATGAACGATAAACCCGACTAAAACGACCATGTTATTATAATTAATCAATTAATTAATTATAATTACAGGAAACCCACGTTGACCAGAACTCACTACTCACCCAAATAAATAATGACAAAGCCACGATAAGTCGAGCTATGGGACAAAACAGGCAACTAAAGGACCACATGTTGGAACTCCAAGATAAGCTCATGAGAACTAGCGAAACTAACGCTTCACTTGCTAACGAGGTATTTACATTTTAAACATTTTAAACATTCACTGTTTCGACGAAACTGTGCAACTGCGCGGACCTTGGTTTTGGCAATTTGTGTAAAAAAGACTGATCAAAGAGTGAACAATTTTATTATCTACAGCCTCCCCAATGTGTGAACTAACTTCTCCACTACCAGTGACGTCATCACACGATTAGTGACGTCATCACACGATTAGTGACGTCATCACACGATTAGTGACGTCATCACACGATTAGTGAAGTCATCACACGATTAGTGACGTCATCACACTACTACTTCTCCACCAGGTTCAGGAGCTCTCATCACGTGTGAGTTGCCTAATGTCAGAGTTAGCAGACAGCGAGGAGCGAGTAGAGCAGCTGGGGGAACAGGGTGAAACACTACAACGGCCACTCAGTGAAGATAGCTTGCTAGGTTAGATTTGTTATCAGTACTTTAGATGATACTTGTTACATCAGATGCAATGAAACACAATTGTATCTTGTAAAGATGATAAAATGTTTCCTGATCGGACACTAGATTCATAACAAAACCGTTACACTCAGATGGAGCGAGCAGTCGTGCACAAGTAGTAGAGTTACGAGAACAATTAAAGGAGTTCAAGAAGACAATATCCTCCTTACAGCAGGAGAAGGCTATCCTGGGGCTGTCTGCTGCTCAGGTTTGTTCGCTAACAAATCTATATAATATCAAAATTATAAATCAAATAAGTCGTAACTAAAATAACAATCGACTAACTATGTTGTCGACTAAGATATTAAGCATGTACACTATTGAATACAAGAAATCGCTAATGAAGCTGAGTCTGAGTTGAAGAAGAAATAATAGACATACCTGAGGAGAGAATTTTCTTTAAAATGAATGTGATATCTAAGTTATTGATCTACTGAATCGGTCCACTATCTCATTAATTATTTGTTTCTTGTTCACATTTAATTACCTCTACCCTCCAATTTTACCTCCTGATGGCCTCGTTGTGAAAGGAACGATAAAATTAGAACATAACTGATTTTAAAAATTTCCTCGAACAAAGCTACCGACTAGCGGGTTTCTAATAAAGGATGGATCACCCTGCGTATACTCAAGATATAATTTGTTCCGTAGGCAATTCTCTAGCTTTAGTTTATAATATTTAAAAATGGGTCTACTTACCAGTATAAGATCTACATGTAGATACACTACAGAGCTCATATCGGGGGGAAGTTCCTTCAGCATTATAACACCAGGGTCCTGGTTCACTGAAGAAAACATTAACACATGTTACTTGAGGGATTTTCAAAGGCGACTTCATGAATTATTTCAGCTAGGATTCCCTTCGGTTCGGTGATTTTGTGAATTTCGATTAATTAAAATTTGACACTTTGCCCCTAATTTCTTGTCAACTTCATGACAATGATATGCTTTCTGTAGGAAGACTTACCCATTTTCTGCATTTCCTGGTTTCCTGCAGTAGTTATCGTCAAGTCCTGCATTAGGGTATCTGAAAATTTTGTTGTGATAAAATCTTTTGCAATACCTCGAATTAAATTTGAATTGTGTTCATATCACTATTATATAATTACATGGTCTCACAAAGAAATTATGACTAAGTAATTCTAATTGTTAATAATTTTAGAACATTTTGAAGCCGTAATTTATCACGAAAGACACATTTCCCCTGTGCAAGGTCTAAAAAAGAAAAAAGGAAACTTACTTCTCCGGAGTTACAAGGTGTTTATTAGGTGATTGAGAGTCCCATCTTTGACAGACGAGTCCTGATACCGTGACAGCCACATCTCCTCTGTACGATGAACCATCATCACCATCTTGAACACACACTGCGCCTAGGGTTTAATCGATCAAAAAAATATCCTTTTTAGAAAAGTTAGAAGTTAGTACATATCAAACATTTATTGCATCAAAATCAATCTTGAAGGGCTAACCCTGTCAGTGTTCGAGCGTGCTAAATCACTCTACACTTGCACTCGGTGTTCGAGATTTTTCGCTGATTCCGAATCACCATGTCACATTATATAAAAAAACTCCAAGGAAGTTTATCTAATTTCTCATTAGGGTTAGGGCTTCAGCATCTGCATATGCTTTAGTTAGGGATTGGGTTAGGGTTGGAATCAGATTGAAGAGGATAAGACTTTCGAATAGTCATTCAGGGCCACATAGAGAACATGTTTAAAAAGTCACGTGACAGTCGAGTGTTGAGTGATTTATCATCATCTCGTTCATTACAACCAAATTGTTTGATTTTTTCGAATAAAACCACCTCGTTATGGTCGGAATACCTAACAAGTGAGTCCATGACGCTTGTTTCAATGTAAAAAAGGAACGATAAAATTATTATGCCATATAATACCCTGTCAAACTCACGTGGAATGAACACATCAAAAATCAGCGTAAAAAAGCCAAAGGCATACTCATGCAATGCAGGAGAACCATTGGACCAATATGGGGTGGGGGTTCACCCCCAAGGAATACAAGGAATACAAGGAATACAAGGAATACAAATAATTTAAAATCTTGAGCTACAATAGTAACTGTTAAGATAATAACAATATCATAAGATTTGAATTTATTATATTAATATAACTTAACTAAAGTGAAAAATAAAGATTTGACATAGAATATTTTGTTTTCAGTCGCCTTGGTAATGCTGTAATGCTTGAGCCAGGTCACTTTGCAGTTTGCACTCGTCGTTGCGCGAAAAGAAACAAAAGCGGGTACAGTGATTTTCAGTGTTCACTGTTCATGTACTGGCCAGAGAGTCAACAAATTTCTTGCGGTTGTTAAAACACGTAGTGGCAAACCTAGCAACGACTCTCGTGAGGTGGACTTGACTTTCGTTCGTGATAAGTTCAATGATTTCACTGTTGTTGCTGATGAATTTGAGGACGTTTGCTCCAGGGATGACATTGTGAACAGAATAAGATGTCGCAGACGGTTTGATTGGATTTGATATGAGTGACTGGATCTTGTCTAGGACGTTTCGCCTCGATGCAGCGTTAAGATCACAATGGTTAAGGAAGTGATCTTCATTCTCAATAATACCAGAACCTAAGACTATATTGCACCAGGAGCATATTCGCTCGTCACGAGGAGTTTGATTATATCGGCCAAGTTCAATTTCGAGTCGATGTGCACTGATCCGCAGTCTTGTGATATTAGCACGGTCTGCATATTTAATGACACTATCTAGGTAATACTCTTTGTTAAATTTGGATTTTAGGTCACGATAGAATTCTAATTTCCGAGAAGTGTTGATACAGGACCCCCAATATTCTCTAAAGTTACATTTCAAAGTTTTAGTAATGACGTGTGGTGTGAATATTTTACTCCCGATGGGTTGTGTTGATTGAGGAGGAATTCGTTTCTTGAAACCGTTGTGAATAAGAAAGTCCTCTTTTGGTGGTTTTGCGATACTCGGGTTTCTTTCGAAAAGTAACTTGGAGTGATTGTTTTTGAGTGTGCGGTAGGCTGTGACATGATCGGTAGAGAAACATGGGTCTAGCGCGAGGACAGGCTCCAAACCCCTGTACCAGTCCAATTTCATGTTCATCTGTTCTTTGAAAGCTAAGGAGACAAGGGAGTTATCTTTGAGATTTTTCAAACGTTGGCTATATTTGAGAGTGAGGTTAATACATTCATAGATTAATGGGTAGCGGCCTGACTCACCCCAGACGCCTGCGTTGCTGGCTTTACGATTTACCCCCAGTGACCATTTAAGAAAGTGAAGGTGAACTTTTTCGCTGTTCAGAAGGCTAACTTTCTTGAGGATACTAGTTTGAAATTTTGTTTTTGTGTCGGCATCCATATTGAGATCGACTTGTTTTGTTATGTGTTTTATGATAGCCATGTTAGGTGTGTAAATAGGCGCTCCGTAAAGAACGATAGGTTTAATAAGACCATCAAAGAGTGTTGTTAGAGAGCGGAATGATAATTTGGATTTGTTTACTGAGCTTTTCATGGCATAAAGTGCACGCATGGCTTTCTTTTTGAGCTCAGTTCGGGCATTTGTGAATGTGCCGGATTTGTGTATTTCGATTCCTAGATAGCAGTATGACTCGACTTCTTCTAACAAGTGATCACCAATTTTGAGGGGAACCGGCTGATAAGTCAAGGGTCGACCGAGTCCTCGGCCTCGGCCTCGGTTTTACCGAGGAATGGCGATTTTTCCTCGGCCTCGGCCTCGGCCTCGGTCAGGAGGACAATTCCTCGGTTCGCCTCGGCCTCGGTCAAAAATAGATTCGAAATTCCTCGGCCTCGGCGAAATTTGACGATTTTACCGAGGATTTGACCGAGGATTTTTGTTGAAATTTTGGGAATTTTTCTACAGACTTACAGAGGTTAATGTAAACGAATTTGTAAAATTGAAAATAAAACGACCAATTGACCAGGACACAAAACTAACAAGAAATGCGGCCGCTTTTTTTGTGGATGGCCGCTCAATTTCCCGATCCGTGATGGCGTATTTTATCATATTCCATACAACCTGGAGATCCCAGTTTTAACTGTTTATAACTTATAAGCATGCAGATATAGCGGAGTGACAGGCCGAGCGCCACTAAGTTAATATAATTCCATATTGAATTTGAAAATCGTGTATATATATGCTTATTGTTTATGCAACCTGACACCCGACAGTGACACGGATCTGTGCAAAATAGTAATAGTAACTCAAAATAATAATAGTATGCTATCAACTAGTGCCTAGTGGGATATGTACATTGTGAAATTAATAATGTACTTGGTCAGTTCAGCGCCGCGCGCCAACAATTATTTAATTCAGATTTGTGCGCAAAATAACTTTGCGCAGGTAGTCACGTGGGCGATAACAGTGCGCGAGGGCAGGCACGCAAGTACGGTCGCACGGTCGCAAAGCTACCATATCAAAAAAAACCTCGATCGCTAACCCTTGTCCTTGACTTTTTTGTGCCTTCGGCACTTTGAGTCATGGATCGGGAAAAAATATCATAGTCTAAGATTCATCGTCTGATGAAATGACAATATCTGAGCACTCTGAATCAGAATAATCTTCTGTGCACAGCTCAGAAGGGGGACAGTCCTCTTTATTTGGGGCTTCAAATTCATTTGGACAGGGGCCGAAGTCGTCCCCAAATGTTCCGATGTTCTTTTTGAGAAACAAGCACCCCTCAAAGTTTGTTGGCTTAAGGCTGAGGCGATTTAACTTCAGGATGTGCCCTGCTGTAGAAAACGATCTCTCTGGTGCTGCTGAGCTCGCCGGCGCAGATAGATATTTCCTTGAACACTCAGCAAGGTTCGGATAGCTCTGCTTATTAGCTTTCCAGTAAACTAATGGTTGAAATGATAAATCAACTCGAGAGTCTAACGTGTGTACACAGTATAGTACACAGTACAATCTGATTAGGTACAGTGCGCTTTTCCTAATAAACAATGCCCTTTTTCCAAACAATTTTTCTGCCAAAATTCCTCGGCCTCGGCCTCGGCCTCGGTCAAAATTTGCACTCCTCGGCCTCGGCCTCGGCCTCGGTAAAAAAAAAGAAACCTCGGTTGTCCTCGGCCTCGGTCTTAACTAACTGTATTTTCCTCGGCCTCGGCCTCGGTCGAAAATCCTGCCCTCGGTCGACCCCTGTGATAAGTATCAAAACGGGCATTAAATTTCATGAGTTTAGTTTTATCTGCATTAATTTC